CTGGGGAAGTTATTGCTTAATGGTTATAGAGTTGTTATTTGGGGTGATGAAAATAGATAGTTGTGATGATTACACAGAATTTTGAATGTACTTAATGTGATTGAATTTTACACTTAAAAATGGCAAAATTCATATTACCATTTTTTGCCTCGGATAATGCTCATATTTTTGCCCAAATTTTTGAGGGAAAAATAAGGATGTGCATTATACATGGGTATAATTATTCCATACCATGGATATAATAATCCCTTGTATAATGTTCACAAAAATGTGGGTGCACATTACACAGGAGAGCACACTATACACAGCAAAATATGGTACATACACTAGAATTTTTCAAAGCCCATGAGGGGATGTTGACTGTGAGTGAGAATGGAAAGGGGAGGAAAGGAATGGGCCATTCAGGAATGAGAGAGAGAATCAACAGTCAGCTAATTGATCGTGGGGGGAGGGAATATGGGTATATTCAGGGTGATATCCAAGTTGCCAGCTGAGATCTTGAGTGGCTGTTTATGACATTAAGATTAACAGGTGATCCAGACTGAAAAATAGGTCTGGAGTTTGAGGCCACAGCTTGCTCAATAGCAGTATTTTCTTTCTTAATTTAAAGGGCTTCATAGGATGTTAATATAAAAGAAATGTGATCTGTCTATGGCAAGACCACATTTACCAATATGGTTGATTCACCTGGAAAAATTGAACAAAAAAACAAGTAAATAGTAGCTAACATTTACTGACCACTTACAATGGACCAGACACTGTGCAAGCACTTTGCACATATCAGTTTAATCTTCACAACTACCCGCCAAGGCGTGAGTGTCCTCATTTTACAAACCTTATGCTGAGCCATTCCCTAAAAAATGCCTGACACTGTCAAATTTCTGTATTTATGTATATTTTGGATTCTGTCGTTTCACTCTAGATTTGATTCTCCTGTTCCTCCAGAGCCCCTTCCAAAGACATCAGTTCCGAGGGCTCAGAACTGCTCAGTCCTCCCTTCACATTTAGTAATCTAATAAAATGCCTTCAGGGTGATATGGCCCCACAAAGGCTGTGGGTTCCTTGAGAGCAGAAGGTGTTTTTCCTCTGGCTTTGAATCTCCTTCAGTACATGTCAAAGTGCCTTTTATTCAGAAGCACTCCTTAAATGTTGGCATTTTATACATGGATAAACTGAGCTTTGAAAAGGTGTGCGTAGCTGAGATTCCAGGGAAACTCATCTGCTCCTGGTGAGCAGCACCCAGACTTGCTCCGTTCCTATCCAGTTCCCTCTCCCTATTACACTAGCACTTTCTTTCCCTCTAGCTCTGCACATCAGTTTGCATTTGAAAATCAGCTCCAGTCCATAAAGGGAAGCATTTGGGTGCCTTCTGCAGCATTAGACACCCAGGGCCAGCAGTATTGGGAGCCTCAAACCTTTCTTCCACTCTCTCATGTCCTCACTGGACCAAAGCTTGCACAAAGGAGGGAACCAATTTATTTATTTTTCACTGTACACCCAGTATCAAGCACAGTGATGAGAACATAGCAAATAATGAATATTTGTTGAATGAATCATGAACCCACTAGTTCTCAGTGAAAAGACCCCAAGGCTATAGGGAAATGAGCAAACAATGCTCTCCCATTTGTTAAACTGAGGCTTGTCTCTCTAACAACCAATTAAATCACCTGTCACACACTTATTACAGCCATCTTGACGTTTATAGCACACTCCCCTTCTCCTGTACCCCTTTCAGAAAACCTCCTGTGTTGGGGAGAAAAAAAAACAACAGTGTTCAAGCTGAGCCTGACTTCCCTTGAGCACCTGAGAAATCCTTGACTATCTGCCATACCTTCCCTAATCCTCCGCCAAAAGGAGATTATCTCTGTAATCCTGTCACAAGTCCTAGTTCCTTTTTTCCCCTGTTTCTCTTCCTGATTCCTTTTTCCTGTGTTTCTCCTTCTTTCCTCCCATTCCTAGTCAAGCACTACCTTGCTCCCTAATCGTGTTTCATGTCTCTCAGGATTCCTTGACACTGTTTTAATGAACCCTGAAGCTGGACAACAAAGAAATAAAGACTGAACATGATCTATTGTGTCCTATGTAGATCCAGCCAGCCCTGTGTCCTAGATTTGGAGAGAGAGAGGGAGGGGCCGGGTTGGGGTGTGGGGGAGAGAGAGAGAAAGAAAACTGTTTTACCTTCAGCCACAGGTACCGAGGCTGTGTTGAAAAAGTATAAACCGTTACTAAATTTTCTGGCCTACATTTTTAAACTTTACTCAAAGGAATAAACATGCATTAGAATCAGTGCCACCGGAATTTTATTGACCTGTTTATGGTGACGGGTGGTCTTTCTGAGCCAGAGGAGAGGGGAGGGCTGTGTGCTGGGGAGTCGCAAATAGAAAAGGGAGGGAAGCGAGTGGGACCTGCTTGGTGCTTGTTTTGTTTCCAAGTCGTGTCCTGTGTTGAATTCCCAGCACTTCCTCTTTGGCACCTCTACTTTCTGGAATTTACACAGATGTAGACAATTACGGCCTTGAAACTTGAAATTTGGCTTCCAGAGAGGTTGATCCAATTGTCTACACAGATGCCATTTGAGTGAGAATTTAGAAAATCCACGCGTTTAGAAAAATGGGTCTCCTCCATTCCTGCCAGAGCCCTTTTGTGCTCAGAGCATTTAGAAACAGAACAAGGCTCTCTGGGAGGTTTCGGTGTGCATGCACAGACAGATCTGCCTAGCGTGGGCCCTGACTTCTGTGTGTCCTTTTCTTCCTTACATCCCTCTTTTCCAAGAGCAGCACCCCTCCAGTGAAAAGGGGGAAGACAGTTCTCCTCTGTGGCCACACTGCTATAAACCTGTAAGCAGCTGCTTTTTCCCCAAAATGTCATTCAGAGCTCCTGGACTCAAGTGAACAGGAGGAGTGCCCGAAGATGTCTTTGGCATAAGCTAATCTGATTCTCTAAGGAGGGTGTCTGTGAGTTAAACGGTCTAAGAATGAAAAGAGAGCCCTGCCCAGAGCGGTGTCAGGCGGCTCCCAGGTTGAAAGACAGCATTAGAAATGGACACCCTGCACTCAGATAAGGAGACCAAACAGGAGCTTTGCAGAGTGTGCCAGGCTCAGGACAGCAACAGCAAAATCAAACTCTTGACCTCCTGGCTGATTATATTTCACCAAAGAAACTCTCATACACCAAGACACTGGTCTTACAGAAGGCACATTTTACGGCTGGCTCCCCAAACTCCATGGTGAAGGTCGTCCCTAGTGCTTGTTGGAAAAAGATGGAGAAAAAGTAAAAGGAGCGAGAGGGAAATGAGGGAGAGCCAGAGGCACTTGACACCAGCCAAGGTCATTTGCTCTCTTTCAAGGTTTCCCAGGCCTCTAAGTGGAGGAATGCAATTAGTTTGCAAGGCGTGGGTCGCAAACATTTTTTCCTAACTCAGAGTTCGAATTCGGAATCTGTGCATTCCAGGAAAATGAGTGCAAACAGGCCTGTGTGTATTTACTACTGTGTGTAGTTCGTTTGTTTTTACCAAAGGGTCCATAGCTTTCCTTGGATTCTCAGAGAGGTCTGTAGGCCAAACCAGGCCAAGAACTGTTGCCCTGTATCCTACATTATTTCACATTCCCCATCATCAGGGACAGAGGCTCTGAGGGAGGAGGTCCAATAGCACACGGTGATCCCAAGCTGTGGGCAAACTCCCTGCAAAGGAAACTGGTTCCCACCACATTGACTCCCTCCTGAATGACATCGTATCAACGTCTACTCTTGAAATAAGTGAAGTGTGAAACAGGCCTCCCCACCGCCGTCCCAGCCCAGCATCAGGTACCCCTTTCATGGTACCCAGTGTATCTCCTAACTAGCTTTCCTCTGCCTCATTGCCCCATGGCAATAAGGATAGGCCAAGTCAGGCATCTTCTGTTTTGGACCAACGCCTTACCTTCACTACTCATTCTGGGCCAAAGAACCTTCACCAAAGTGATTAGCAGAGTGGAGTACATCCTGTTCTTGTTTCTATTCTTCACTGGACCTAAAGGGGTTATTACAACCAGGACTATACAAACGCAGGATTATACAAAGGCGTAACAAGGACTGAGATCATTGAGCTTATCTAAACAGACACACCTAAGTAACAACTAGAAAAATATCCAACCCCACCACAGGATGTGGTTCTGATGCTAAGAGGAGCAGTGATGAGATAGATATTCAGGAAGGAAGATTTGACAAAAAGGCAGGTATACGTCCAAACTTCTTGTTGCTGTTTCTGCCGCTGATAGTTTTCAGAGCTCACCCTTTTCCCACAATTCAGTTTCTTATATCAGTGTTAATGTACTAACTGTAAAGAATTTTCAGTCTTTTTTTTTTATTCTGCAACTTTTCAAAGTTCAGACTTTACATAGAGAATCTTTATCCAGTATAATTTTGTACCAACGGTGCCATATTTGCTGTTTTGCTAAGACTCTAGGGTGACATTTTTTAAATTTATCAGCCAGGCATAGGGATAGACTAAAACCGTCCTGGGCAAACTGGAACGTCAAGGTCACCACCTCCTGCCCAGACCGTGCTCAGCGATTCCCCCTTTCAGCACACACTTCACCCGCATCAATCACCTGCCTCATCTTTGGATCTCTTCCCTAGCTAAGGTGGAAATGGTAGAAGATGCTTTGGAGCCAGAAGATGAATTCCAAGTTAAGAACTACCTGAAGAGGAAAAATCTCCCATTTCAGAAGAGCCACGAACTCTCCGCTGCTCCCTATGTTGCAATCACACGTGCTCCTGCCGCAGTCAGGCGCAGTTCGGCTGTTCATCCGTCTCATGTTCTTTTACATGTAGACTGGACCATGCTATTTTTACTGCCCTGCTTTCTCCATAGATTGCCATAAATTTAAAGCATCATTCAATGATCATAAAATCACGTGCGCGCACACACAAAACCCAAATACTCCATCTGTACCAGAATTGTCAGGAAGGAGAAGTAAAGTAAAAAAGGACCTTATGCCCATTGTTCCTTCTTTCCACAGATTCGAAACGTGGCAGCCAACCTCTGCGTGGACAGCAAGCACGGAGCCACAGGCACTGAGCTAAGGCTGGACATCTGTGTCAAGGACGGCTCTGAGAGGACGTGGTCTCATGAACAGGTATGTCAGCTCCGAGAAGCCACGAGCTCCCGAGGCAGGCACGGAGGGTTACAGTGGGGACAGATCCCCAGGTGGGACATGCGGGACATGGTGTACTTAAGTGAATCACTTCACTTCTTTGTTTCTGTTCTTTCTCAGAGCAGTTGTGATAATCAGTTGAGATAATATATAAAAAGGCACTTTAAATCATACAAAGGATGTTAGAAATACTGTATTTCCTTTCCCAGAATGATAGTTTTCAAACCGTAAAAAGCCTATAGAAGGTTATGGAATTCTTCCAACTAAATTTCATGGTTTTAATGAAGAACTCTTTGTTATTTCATAAGTTTGTGTGACTTTAATCTTATTCCCTGCATCTGGCTGTATATTGAAAAGAATACTTTGCATACGCCTCTTGTTGTTGTAGGAGTTTGTAATCGTACACATGAAAGATAACTTTGAGGTAATAACACCCAAGATAAACTTCATGGGCTACATTCAGACTATTTATTGCTTTTGATTGGAAAACCATTTCAGCATGACTCAGTTTATGAAGTGAGGTGTGATTCCTGACCCACTTTGACACCTGACAGTCCTCATGAGGGGCTTTCCTCACACTGCGTCACCTGTAAAAGAGAAAAGAGAGTGGGTAGACTCATGACTACCCCTTTCTATTGTTCTTTTTAATTGTGAAATATTTCAAACAGGAAACTATAAAAAATATAGCAGACATTTATATACCTACCATGCAGATTTAACAAGTATCTACAGCTATTGCTATAGCCTTTAGAAGAATAAAATTTATAGACACAGTTAAAGCCTCTTGCCCTTATTCTGCTCCCCCCTTTCCCTCTGCAAAAGAATGTATTCCAAGTTCAAGAGAGCATGTCTTGCCTGTGCCTTCTGTTTCCCGGAATTGTCTATAATACCTCTCTTATGAAAACCAAAAAAGTAGGCACGCAATTGCCAGTAAAGTATTCGTTGTATTCTGTTCTGTTCTGTTCTGTTCTGTTCTGTTTGCCATATTCCTCAAATGTCTATTTTGTTTATGCTAGTAAAGACCCACCACGTCCTAGGGCGCTGCAGAGTGTGCGGGGATGCTGAGGTTCAGCCTGGGGCGCCACCCTCCCCCGCTGCCCCGTCCTGCTCCTCCTCTAGCCCGCATTACAGTGCAGAGCAGCCTCGCCTCGCCTCGTTCAGGAAAGCGCCAGGGGACCAAGTCCGTAGCACAGTCCAGAATCAATGCAGTCAATCACTGAACCAAAAATGCCCTCCCCCACCCCGCGCCCTAGCTGGCAATCTGGTCCTTGTACTCATCCCACAAGCTCATGAGGTTCTGGAAGAGCCTTGCCATCAGGCCAACCTAGGTGCCAACCAGTTTAACCTGTGCACCCTTGTGAAGTTATTAAATCTTTCTATGCCATCGTTCCTCCATGTTTAAGTAGGGACAATAACCCATCTCACAAACAGGGCAATTATGAGAATAAATCGTGTCTAAGATATAACAGCTTCTTGCACCTGTAGTAGGTACAGAGTAAATATACTTTTCCCTTTGCCTCCTCACAGTTCCTCCCTCTGGAGCGCATTATGATAATAGCGAATTAGAGCTCTCTCTCAGGTCCAAGGCAGCTGCCACACACCAAACACTATTTATCATCCACTCAAATGCATCCTGCAGCACATGGACTTTAAAGAAGGCTGCCGCTCCAGGACTCACTGATAGGAATGAAATGTCAGTAGAAGCTAACTGCCTTCTCCTTTTTCTATCTCTTTCTACAAGCACCACAGGGGAGCTACCAGGGATGGGAGATACAATGTTGGCCTGTTTCCTCCAAGAAGCATTTCTGGCTTCAGCCTGAGAGCAAGAGAGAAGGCTTCAGAGGCATGTCAGTGAGACTGACATCTTTAGAGGAAAAGGTTATGTTTTTTAAAAAGGAAAGGAGAAAGGAACATGCCATAGGAAAATCTTTGTCTGAAGTGCTAAATCCCTCTCTGCCACCTCTATTCAGCCCAAGCGGGAGACACACATAGGCAGCTGGCGGATGTGAGGTATGCATACATGAATGCCTGAGTCAGAGTTAATATTTTCAATCCCCTGGAGTGTTCTAGAATGAAATATGCTCTGGACCTCAGATTTCATTTAATTGCTGAAAATAAATATATAGAAACCAACTCCATAGCATACACTTTTAAAATTGTTTCATTTTTCTCCCCCCTCAGACCAAACTGTGAACTATGGCATGTAATTCAAGGAATTGTCAGCAGAGGGCAGCACTAGATAAGCAGACATAAGAAAAGCTGAAGAGGCCAGTTAATAAATCTCTTTAAAAAGATTTGCAGTCCCTAGAGACTGCAAACAGAGCTACAGGAAGATTAAACAAGGTTTACAGGAGGTGAAAAATAAATCACATTTGAAATATGTATCACGCTATATTGACTTGGAGGTGAAAACATTACAAGCTGCTTTGTTTTCCAGTAATTAACGGTAAGCTTTATTCAATATATTACTCAATGACTCATAAGAATTAGGTCTCATTCTTTCACATGTAGATTTAAATTCCTGAATGAGAAAAGCAGTATATCAGGACAGGGGATTTATAGGTATTCTTTTTAATTCAAAAGCATTCATAGAACACAAAAGGGACGCTTATTAGAGTTGAAATAATCCTTTTTATTAAAAATGGCAAAAATAAAACAAGTGAATAAATGAGCACAATAGTCACATGGGGACCACAGGAGAGTCTATTGAAGCACCTTTTCTTTTTTTAGTTGAGGGAAAAAATATTTATTACCAGTGTTTCTAGTGAAGACAAGTTCAAACTTCATTCTTCAACACGGACACACATGAATCCGAACAACTGGATAACAGGTAATTGGCAAACGCTGCAGAAAGGTATATGAAATAGGAACACTCCCATTTAAGACCACAATCATCCGTCTTTCTAAGACCTTAGAAAACTGCTGAGTGAGTTCATTGCAAGGGAAATATTTCAAATTTGAAGGGGGAGAAACTACCAGTTAGAATAGCAGTCCTAAAGTGCTCTTTTTCTTGTTAATTCTTTTTTTAAATCATTTTTTATTTTTTCAATTATAGCTGACATACAATATCAGGTGTGTACACCAGTGATTATCCCGATAAATCTCATACGCACCTGGCACCATACATTGTTATGAGTATTATTGATTATATTCCCTATGCTGTACTTTACATCCCATGGCTATTCTGTAACAATCAATTTGTATCTCTTAATCCCTTCATGTTTTTCACCCATCCCCCAACCCTCCTCCCATCTAGCGACCACCAAACTGTTCTCTGTATCTATGAGTCGGTTTCTATTCTGCTTGTTCGTTAATTTTGTGTTTTAGCTTCAAGTGTTGATAGATAAGAAAATGCCTTTTGTTGCAGAGCACCAGTGATGACTAATTTGGCTTCTATGAAGGAAGCAAATGTCTTTGATTCATTTTTCAGGGCCATTTATTTAGCTGCTTGATATGACTGTAGCATTGTGTGCTGGCTTTCAGTTTCCTTTACAGACCAAGACAGAAAACTAAAATTAGACTGAAATAGGACTGTAGGTCTGAAAAGGATACTCCCCAGCTGCCATTATAGTATGAATCCCTGAGAGGGAAGAGGAGAGGAGGGGTTGGGCGGGGGGAGGGAAGGAGAAGAGCAGAGGGGCCCTGTGGCTCCTTGGCCAGGCAGCAGGCTCTGGGCACATCCTGGGGAGGAAGTACTGACTGCCGCGGAGCGGCCTTGGTCCTGCTGAGGTAGCAGACAAATGCCCCCTTTCAAAGACCTGGGGAGGAGACTTGCCAAGAGAGACAGGAGCAGGTCCCTGCATGTGGTAAAAGGATAGATTCTGGGATGTACTCTCACTCTCGGGACAGAGCACACTGCAGATCTCAGAGAGCTGCCAACATCACAATGAATTTAAATAACACCACCCACAGAGATAAAAATATTTTAAATCTTCCCAAACCAGGTAGCAAGATTACGATAATAAGCGTATTATTTGCAGTACCAAGTCTAGGGGGCTTATTTGTAAGCGGCATTGCACATACCAAATTAACGTCGAAGCAAAGACGTGTGCGTTACGTATCATTCTGAATAGATATTCAAAAGTATCAATTAAAAGAAGAAAGTGGAGAAATTAACGTCAATTTGGTCTAAAATTGAAGGATTGGAGGTTGAAAAAGAATCAGGGGTTATTTTCCAGGAAATCTAAATTCTTCTGTCTGTAAGGAACAGCCCAAGGGTGGAAGACAAACTATGAGTGTCACAATAACATCACCCAATGCGAACAGTGACAATGCTCTCATAATGTCTGCTTGTTTCTGCCTTGACAAGAGTGCACACAGAAAAGTGTGCATAATGAATGAAACACTCAATGCCTGATCGGTTTGACATGGCCATTAGGATAAGATAAATGGCAACTGCATGCATTTCAAAAGCGTAAGAGAAAAAAATTTCACCTAATGGTAGAGGCAGCAGAGTAAAACAATTGATATAATCTGAAGATATATCACATTGGATGCAGGGGAGTAATCACCAGGTAATAACAAAGGCAATAATACATAAAACACTGAAGAAGAGCACAGGCTAACAGTCAGTCTACAAATCTAAGAATGATTGTTGCCCTATAATTACACATCTCGAAACAAGAAATAAAAGTCACCTAAGGAATCCCTGATATATAATTGTGAACATATATGAATAAATCTGTCCAACAGACAAATCCGCGTAAGTTTGCCCTTACATAGGTATTCCTTTGAACCTAACATCAATGTGTTGAATGTTAAGTAAAATATAAGAAAGCAATAAGTAAGAAAAACTGTCTATAAACATATTTGACCTTTGCAGGCCTGATTTTCCCTCAACTGTGTAAGAGACTGTGCTAGGTAATGACTACCTTCCCTTTAGGCTCTGGCCTTTTAAGGGTACAGCAGGTCCTCAAATCACGTTGTTTTGTTCAACATGGTATTGTTATAATGTTGATGAGTTGCCATGGGAACTTAACTTTTTTTTATATCAATTAGCCTATGGTGAAGTTGGTTTTGATGATGTTAAATGAGGAAATACTGTTTAAAAACCAAAAAAAAAAAGACACAGAGACAGAGAGGCAGAAAGACAACAACAGAGAGGGAGATGGATAAACCAATAAAGACCAGTGGTTTCTGAGTTGCCTGGTCAGCTTATAATAACAAGGAGCTTTGATATTTAAATAAAATAAAGATTTAATCAATGCCAATGGCAGGCTTATAGGCCAGGAAATAATAGATAGCTGAGCCTAGAATCATTGAAGTTGAAATTTTGACAAATAACAGTGTGGTTGATATTGTTGTAATTAGACACAAACAGAACAAATTCTTTTGAGGGACCAAAAAAAGATTAATTCGTTCATTTTGACAACTATGCCAATACACTTTCTGTTAATATAATGAGTGCAAGTTTTTATTTATTTGGTAGAAATTGTATTAAACATGTATTATGTGTCATGAGTTGTTCAGGTTGCTGGAAACACAAAGATAAAAAAAGATACAATTCCTACCATTAAAGATTTCACTGTCTAGTGAGAGACACAGAAGCATAAATGAGCAAACATGATGAAGCAAGGTAGGCGGTGGCCAGGAGTAAGACGTTCAGAGAGGAAAACTGCTCGGATGAGTGGACAGCTGAACTGAATGTCTTAAAACTAATGAGCATTCACTGGGTTGACTGGTGAATGTTGGTTGGCCTTCCAATCATGCTGGAGACCACTTTGTGTGGTATCGGGAGCTGTAGCCCCACGCAAGCCAGGCCTTGAAAATGGCCTGTAAATGTCGACCAGACAGCTACAGCACCAAGGGTTCCCATGGGAAATCTGGCCTACATAATGTGTTGTATTTACTAGAGCTTGCTCTGCTTTGCACTGCCCTGATAAGGAAAAATCAAGTGTTTAGTCTCAAAGCAGGAGAGAAGATCCTTGAGCCCCTGACCTTTGGCTTAATGACCAGCTGATGTCAGTATACCTGACAGACCCTAACCCAAGGCTGATTTATTGTTATCTATTGCCCTCTGACGTAGATTGATAAGCTCTGCACATATGCTGTATACCCCTGCACATATTCTAAAAAAAAGCCATTTCAGAGAAGGGCTCAGGGCATTCTCCACTAGAGGGAATCACCACCCCCTTTTATTGACAGGCAATTGGTGTCTGGAACAACTCATTAGTTCACCTGCAGTGAACTGGGGGACTTCACAGGACAGGATCCCCCACACAACCAGAGGGGCTGTCCTGAAAAAAGACACGGAAGGGAAAAATATAGCCTGGTTATTGCAAGGGACTGTAAATGTTTTATTGTTGCTGGAACATAGACTATAGGGAAGAGATGCAGCTGGAAAAGGCAAAACCAGATTGTGAAGAGTTTTTTATATGTTAAAGAATTTGAACTTTATTCTCTAAGGGTTATATGAAAATATTATGGAATTTTTGGTTGAGAGGTAGTATGCCCAAATAGACATCTCAAACAGAATTCTCTGGAGGCTATGGAGGACAAATAGGAAGGAATTTAAAAAGGAAAGTGGGAATGAAACTAACTAGGAGATCATTTTAGTAGTCTAGGCAAGAAATGTTGAGAGCGATGGTAGTGGAAATAAAAGGGAAGAGATACTTCCAGCAATGTTTAGAAGACAAAAATGACCAGACTTGGTAAATGATTAGATGAAGAAGGCAAGGGAGACGAAAGAGTTAAAGATGAGAGACTCCCAGGTTGACAAGGTGAATGATCTGACTATAAACTGAAACAAAATATAAGAGTATAAACAGACTTAAAAGAGAAGAAAATCAATTAAATTTAGGATGTGTTGAATCTGAGATGTCCATAGGACATACAGTTGGAAAATCCTACATGAGTTGGATGTAACACAGATGATGCGTTATTAGCACATTGTCAAGAGCTGAACTACTGAGAATGTTTAAGACCAACCAGAGAAGGTGCAAGGGCAGAGGGTCCAAGGAAGAACCCTGAACAACACCTCTGCTGAAGAGGTGGGTAAAAGAGGAACATGGGCAAGACAGAGTTATAGGGTAACAGGAGCTCAGAGTTGTGAGTTGAGGGGAGCGATCAAAATCAGAAACACTAAGAAGACATTTTTCCTTGAGAAGTCATTCTCCTGCACAGAATTTGAATGAATCTAAAAATGCCTCTGTCCACAATCATATTTAAACAAACAAGGCGGGGGGGGGGCGGGGGCGGGGGGAATGAAGGAAAAGAGACCCTACAATTCTTCTTTATCAATCAATTTTAAATGACTAACCTAAAAATTCTTTGTCCTATTCAAAACATTCTCTTCTATCCTGGCTTGAGGGGAAACAAATTACAGTTACTTGCCATTACTTAATCAACTTCCAACTTCCATATGTTTGATTTAGATAATTCCTTTGATTTTCTTTAGACCACTTACCCCAGTTCTTTCAAGTTTTCTGCAGTTTCCCCACCATTTAACTAGTTTTGTTAGCCACCCTCAGAATTTTGCCAGATTCTCTACATTTTATTTCCTGGGTAGGACTTAAAAACCGAAATATACTGAGGGCCTGGTTGGTTGTGCTTGTTTCTCTATCAGCAGGGACTCCGTGACACCCCTTTATTTTGCGATTCTCAGTTTGGTTTTATACAACCAGGCCTGCCTTAAGTCCTATAGTAAGAATTACATAACCTTAATGAACTTTTAGAATTGGAATTAATCATAAGGCTCATCTTCCCACTCAAGGATTTTTTCCTACTGCACCCCTCGAATGGTTTTCCAGGTCAAACTCAAGAACATACACCTTCCCTGCAAGAATATGGTGGGGTTTTTGAAATTTAATACATTGTATAATTAATTTAGCACATCACCAGCAGCTAATAGGATAGAATAGACTAGGATAGGATAAAGTCAGATGGAATATCAGAGTCTATTAAATACAGTGAGGATAAATATCAGTCCATGAAACTTGTTTTAGTTCAGGGAGGGGAAGAGTGTGTGAGTGTGGGTGTGTGTGAACTGTACTCTACTGTGAGGTACAAGTCAAAACATTGCCCTGCATAATTACTCTTATCAACCCCAGGAAATTAATTTGCCAATTCTTTACTTCATCAAGCTTAGCTTTCATTTAAATCAATTTTTTTAAGTCACTAGCTTCAATACAGCTCAACTCTACTCCTGGTCTCTTCCCAATCTGCTCATTTAGGTTAACTGTGTAGCATTTTACCCAGTAGCATTTTATCAAAATGAAGAATGTAAAGAACTTCATTGAAGAGTTCTTCTGCCTCCTCCCTCCCCTGTCTTCATACAATCCTCTGTTACTTCTGGCCTCTACCTGGAAGCTCCTTATTTGCATTTTTGGCTCCCTGGGCCAAAGGCGCAGCTGCTGCGGCCCTTCAGGATACAAGATAGAGGTTTCTTGACACCTCTATTATCAGGAGACATAGTTTTTTCCTGTAAATCATAAAACAAATCTAAATTGCTCCCCTGGTTCTCAGATCTCTCCCAGTTAAACTCACTGCAGCTTTTCTGCTACTGTCGCTTTGTTAGCTCTTTACTTTCGGGTGGAGAGAAGACATTCGGCCCGGGGAGCCGCTGCACACCCGCAAGTTCTGCTTCGACGCGGTCTCCCACAGCAGCCCGGTCACTCTCTACGACTGTCACGGCATGAAGGGGAACCAGCTCTGGGGCCACCGCAAGGTAAGAGTCCGCTCGCTGCGGGCCTTCGCGAACTGCCGGGCTCACAGTTTGCTCCGTTTCCTTTTTAAAACACACTGTGCGGTGGAAATTATTGCCCGGACATGTGTATTCGTATTTGGCTCCCACCCTTGGAGATCAGGGGGAAGATAGAGCGCGTGGGAGGCGGCAGGCTCGGGGCTCTGCTTGGTTTGCGTGCGCCGGTCGCAGCCGGCTAACTGTGTAGCATTTTACCCAGTAGCATTTTATCAAAATGAAGAATGTAAAGAACTTCATTGAAGAGTTCTTCTGCCTCCTCCCTCCCCTGTCTTCATACAATCCTCTGTTACTTCTGGCCTCTACCTGGAACCTCCTTATTTGTACTTTTGGCTCCCTGGGCCAAAGGCGCAGCACCAGAACCCTAGCGCGTCCGGGAAGGGACGAGTCCTAACGCAGACACCTCTGCGACGGAGGGACCGCAAACCCAATAAACAGTGAACGTAGGTGTACTTTTTAAGAACCCAGTTCTCTCTCTCTCTCTCTCTCTCTCTCTCTCTCTCTCTCGCACACATACACACACACAGAGATTAACACATCTATTCATTTATTATACACCCCAGGCTCCTATGCTTGGGAGCTGTCTGGGTTAGAACAAGTACAGTTACATAAATAATTATACATTTATGTAGATGTAATTGTTGAAACCCTTATGCAGGAAGTGACCTATTTATAATTTAGCCAAAACCCCCCCCTACATACAGCAAAGGAGAACTTATTTGAAGGATATAAATTTTAAAGAATGACGAAGTTACCGTTGAATGATAGGAAAAACAGTGCAAAAATAAATATCACATTTTATTGACTTGATAAAATAAAGAGCCATTAAATTTTTATTATAAATACTATCCATTTAAAAAAATTCTTTAGTTTTTCAATCAGGACTTCGACTCCAGTGAGCAAATACTCCACGAGCTGTGTCCCGCCGCTCAAGGTTACACAGCTGCTCCCAGCCCTCAGGGCCAGGGCCGCCCTCTGCTGGCCGGGGCCGCGCGGGCACGAGCCAGCCTTACCCCGGGCCGTGAGAAAAACGTCACACCCACCACTTCAATCAGGAGCTTTTGCTCTCCGGTGGCTGAGGTAACATCAGTATCCCCTGAAATGACAAAAAGGAAACGGGAAAAATCTGCAGAGAATTAACATGGGGCCACCACTGGTGTTCTTCTCTATTTCCTCACATAACAAGCTCTCTGGTACCGAAAACTACACTCACAACATTATACCCACCATATTATCTGGCAGATTATGGTCATGTGTCCAGAAAAAATATGAAATGCCAGTTGCTATACCTTTCCTCAAAACAATTTAAAATCAAAAGAGCTAATAAGAATATGGCTTCGGATATAATATGGGGAAATTACTACAATAGGAGAACCTCACTGTTTTCCTTTTGGAATACATCATAAATAATTAATCTTGTCAAACCCTTTGCTATTCACTATGACCCAGTCTATGTGTGGTTCAATAAGAAATTTTTTTTTTCTGCTTTGACTCGGTTTGTTGATTTGTTTTTTTGTTTGGTGTGGTTTGGTTTGGTTCTAGTCTGACCTTTAAGAAGTCACTTTCTGGGCACATCAATGAAATACCTGATTCGCCATTTGCCTAGTATGCTGGTGGTCCCTAATGAACAGCCTGCTTCTCACAACTGTACGTTTATAGCATGAGAGACATAACACTCAATAACATGCTGTTAAGCCCAGGCAATGCGGTTGATTTCATTAGGGGCTTACAAAAGCTTACAGACGGGTAAGACCAACTAATACCTATGCACACAGAGCTCCTGGGGAGACAGATACAGCTGTGGGGATTTCAAGAGGTAACTTACAGCTTTAACACTTGAAACCTGTCCAGGATCCTCAGGGACCTGTGAAAGGGGACCGCTAGATGCAATTAGGTTGTGGCTCTTTCCTCAGATCTTCTTTGTGGCTATTTGCTTTGCATTACTTAGCAAAAGGTTACACTCACCACTTATTTATATAACAAGCAAGGTATTTATACATAATCAGAAACATGCCGCAGGCTCGAAATGGAAATTTTCTGAAATATCTCATCTTAGTCGATGACTCAGGCCTATTCAAATGTACCTGTTTTAGAAAATTTTCTTGTCTATTTCAAAGACTCTACCCAAGGCATTAAGAGAGAAACCACAGAGAGAGAGGCTTCTGGGGTTCTACCTTGTATGTTTAGATTCACTTTTTGGCCCTGGGGGCTTCAGACAGTTTGGTAATATTTTGAGTCAGCTTTGGAATTGCCTCCTTTTTATTAGCATATTCATGAACGAACAGGATTCCCAAAGACCCTTCTAATTGCCCAAAGGATCTCAGTGGGTCCTCTCCTGAGCTCCTAAAGTAATCCTTACCTCCAGCTGTTAAGGAGGCATAGGACTAGCGCATCACACATGCTCCCTCAAACCTCACAACTATCCCGGTACCAGCAGGTATAATTCATAGAGGAAGAAGCTTATACTAGCAGATTTGTGGCAGGGCCAACATGCAGGCACAAGTGTATCTGGCTATAAAGACTCCACTCTTTCCTACGTCATGCTCCTAGAAATCAGATCAATAACGGGAGAGTTCCCGATGCTTGTTGGATTCAGCACCACCCAACAGCCAACCCCATTCAGGGCTACATGGAAATTTCTTGGCCAGAAGCAACCTTGCTTTAGTGGGCGAAGGTTGTTGTCAGGCCTCACTTTCTGACCCACTCGCAGCCATCAGCTCTCAGTTGTTGCTGTTTATTCAGGAAGATTTTTTTCCAGCTTTATTGAGATGTAATTTCTAGCTGTATTGAGACATAAAACGCTGTATGCATTTAAGGTATACAACATAATGATTTGATGTATGTATGTAATGCAAAATGATTACCACAGGAAGTTTAGTTAACACATCCATCACCTCACATAGTCACAAGTTAGTTTTCCTTGCAGTGAGAACTTTTAGGAGCTACTGTCTTAGCAACTTTCAACTATGCAATACAGTCTTGGTAACTATAATCACCATGCTGTACGTACACCTCCAGAACTTACTCATCTTATAACTGGGAGTCTGTGCATTTGAACCACCTTCACTCATTCCCCTCAGCTTTCAGTACATTTTAGATGTGAGTCTTTGCTGCCACACACACAACAAGAAGGGGGTTCCTGCACTAGGGTCTTGTAACCAGGCTCAGTATCACAATTGTGTCCCCCAGGAGGAGGTTCCCAGGAGGAGGAATCCCAGTCTTGGTTTTCTTTTACCACCAGGGGGACCCCTGTTACGAGAGCAAGGAATTGTTGATGTGACCTCAGTAAAAATATTTAAATCATCAACCAACATCCGAAACAAGAAACTGTCTTCTCTCTGTTTCAGCCCCTACATCCCACTGGCCACTAAGACTTGTCAATCCCGTCCCCTGGCTGAGAGCTGAAATATCCTTCCTCTCTTTGGCTTCCTGCAGCCCCGCCCTAGCTGCAGCCCTTCACATCTTACCCCGAAAGGCCACCCTGCCTCATGGGCCCTTTCCCCTCCGACCCCGCTTCCGTCCTGAAGTCAGAGGGAATTTCTAACATCTGTCCTTGCATGTTGTGTTTTACAGCTTCACCTGGTTTGCTATCAAATAAAAAGTAAAGTGCCTTCACTCCCACTTCTAATCCTGACCCTTCACAGTCTGGTAAACATAAAGGTTGCCTATCAGGCCTAATACTTGCTGATTCGCTCTGAAACTGTAATGTGATCTTGAGTTATTTTGCATCTATGATTTTCAACTTCCTCATCAACATAATAGGGAGGGTAATTAAGTGCGATAAACCATGTAAAATTTCTAACACAGTTTCTGATGACATGATCAAATTTACACCTCTGTATTTGACAAATGCAATTTTTACATTGAAAGTAGCAGTGAGCTATATCCTAATACACTGTATCACTACAGCAATCTATCCTAAGTAATGTTGACTCTTGTTATACCCCCTGGAAATTCAGAACTATCAAGTCTTTTTCTTTTTAAGTAAACATTTTTTATTTAGTTTTCCCAGATGTATACCCTGAAATGAGAATTTGAGTACAGGTAGCTTTGGGAGACGGTCTAAAAAACCTTCGTAGAAAATGGGAAAGTAAAATGGGGAAGTATGGTAGTCAATAAAAAGTACTTTATCAAGGAAGTATTACTGTGGGCAATGAGGCTCAAGCCTGCTGCAGGTCCCCGGAAAGGGTACAGAAGACACATCCAGCAGCAAGGGGGTTAGGGCATTCGTACACCACTCCTTGTGGTTCTTTGTGAGGATTACTCCTGGGGGGAGAGGGGGTCATTCTCTGACACCTCTGGGCTACTGCTGTCACAGATAGAGCTGTTCTTAAAATCAGAGAAAGCCCTGAGGAAAACAGACACGGCAGCCAACTCCTGCAAGTTGGGCCAGCAGGCACGGAAACATGGTGAGGCCTGAAGAGCCATTCAGGTACTACCTGAGAATTTAATTGTTCCACAGTCCTTGCCAGCACTTAGCTTCATCAATTTCTTTTCCAGTTCCCTGTTTCATTCTGAGATTGTGGTATGATATCACATGTTTGTCAGCTGTTTTGGGTATCATCTCTGTGAAGGATGTGAGCCTTTCGATTATTTTTAACATTGGTTATCTGGATGGCTTTTTTTTTTTTACATATTTTTGGGAGGATAGACATACATACATATATGTAAGTTCTTTGTTAGATGTGTTTATTATAAATATCTTACTCTGACCAATGTCTTCGCTTTCCTGTTTTGTGGAGTAATCTTGATGAAGTGCTGTTCTTCACAGTTCATGTTTTTTTGTGTCCTGTTTGGGAAATCTTTGCCCACATCAAAGTCATGGAGACAGACTTCTAATCTGTCTTTGGAATCTTTATTGTTTAATCTTCTCATACACTTTGGTATATAATTTCATGAACTATTTTTATGTATACAGTGTAAGAGGAAGTTTATTCTTTTTTCATATTTATATCCAATCAATCAAT